TACCGTATAACGTTTCATCAATTGTTAATAAATATTAAGGGGTAAAATGCCTGCCTGCACATAAAATGTATATATATTTATCCTATTTCAGGACCTTTAACTTCCTTATGATCTGACGTTTATTACAGTAAAATAAATAATTTCCTAAACTTATTTATGATTTTAATAAACAATAAAAGTATATTGGATAAAATATGATTACCAGGAGGATCTTGGAGAGAATCCACTTGATTAATTTTTTCATTACGGGTTTCATTAGATTACTCGCTTCATCGAGCACTATGATGACGATAATAATAATAATAATAATAATCATTATTTTTGTTGTCGTCGTTGTTGTTGTTGTTGTTGTTATTGCTATATATATATATATATATATATATATATATATATAGATATTTTTTTTTTTTTTTTTGGTCAATTATTCCTTAAAGCCTTGGACGCGCGTCGTGCGAGAAAATTATTGCAATGTAAGAGCATTTAATTACTTAAATATCAAAATATATTTGTTTTCCTTGCGTTAATCGATCCTCTGAATATATTATAATAATATAATAATGCTCGCGATGTGTATAATGGAACTGCGAGTCATCGTATACCTCAACCAGTTGTAAGATCTTTGATAACGTATGCAGTGAAAAAAGGCGTTAGAGTGAGTAACGAGTTTCTAAATTCCATACCCACGTTTCATGTGACAGCTATAAGAAGTATATTTAATTCATATTAGCAGAATGCATGTAGTCAACTGCTCTCTCAACTTCAAACTTTATAATTAAATTTTAGTATATTTTGCGACAAAAGTATAAAGCGATAATAAATTTTGCAAAGCTAATTTAAAGAATTTATAACCTATATCAATGTTTACTTTATTACGATCTAGAAGAGTTGATGCTCGACTACGCATTGGCGGGTAAAGAAATAAAAAAAAAAAAGAAAAAAAATATAGCGTGTAATTTTCTTAAATCACATTCCTAACAATGATTTAATATTTATCAGACCGATGTAAATACATAATTATCAAGTTACTGAATAATTCACCTTGTCGAATGTAAAGTAGGACGATTACCATCTTCAGGCTCGCGCGGATGCACATTCAATAATATTGCTGGGCCGGCAAAAATAAAGCTCAGTCGAATAACGGGGCAAAAGCTTATCGAACTTTTATGATTTTCACGAAAAACAAACGGCGCGAGAAAGCACACTCTCGGATCGATAAATGAAGAAGAAGAAAAAAGCAGTCACTCGCGCGACACTTTCACGATTAAATGCGGATCTCTAGTCGAGCTGCAATTGGGCTTCGGACGAACAAAACGACTCCCCGTGAGCGCTCATTACCGGCGAAAATGAAGGGAAAAATCGTACGGGGATACGCGCTACCTCAAAGGTCCTTTTGACGCACGAGTTTCACGATCGATAAGATATAAATGGGAATGAGTTAATTGACCACTTGCGCGGGCCGGAAGTGGCTTCGAAGAGGGAGAGAGTCGCGCACCCTGAAACTAAATACGCGGCTTGGAGACTTGGAAGGGCTTCGCCGAGTACCAAGCCTGCAAAAGGGTCGAACCTGTAAGGTTACGCGCACACACACACACACACACACACACACACACACACACCTGATATTATATTCCGATATTCATGTGCCTCTATCTCTCTACCTCCCTCTCGCGGCCCTCTGCTTTTATCTCTCTATTTTTATCGGTGTCTCTACACCATTCTTTCTCTCTCTCTCTCTCTCTCTCTCTCTCTCTCTCTCATCCTCTCCCTCCCGCTCTCGCGATATTTCATATTGCGTACGCATGAACGTTGGCGTGCGCGCCGTCGTGAATTATGGAAACGAATTGCCTTTGGTGTCCTGTATGTGTGTCAGTAAATGTTAATGGCTTGGGAGCTTTTTGCCGTCAAATCGATTCCCATTCGATTGTTTTTCTAATTCCCATCGACGTTCTGCGTCGTGAGTAGGGATTCCAATTTTTCTCTCGCCCTTCGCGAAAGTGGCCGCGACCCACTTTCCCTCGCGGTTTTCCCCAGATATAATGTGAGATTCTGTAAGCCGAGCTTATATGGCATTTAAATTGGTTTATCAAGAAAACTAAGTTTGTTTTATAGCGGCGATTTCGTTGAGATGGCTTTCGATAAAATAAACTTTTTAATGCGCTGAGAAATTGCTTGTACATCTCCGGGTATGTTTATTTAATTAACAAACTTTTTTTTATTTCTCTGTTTAAGATTATTTTTTTAATTTTGTTATTTAAGTTTATGGCGCACATTAAACGAGTCATCGCACTTTTCCATCTTTGTACGGGCGCAAGTGTGTCAAGTCAGCTGTAAACGGTAAATCAGATTTGAAATAATTATACAGCACTGATAAATACAAATTATCATATACATCGATATTTTGACAGACTATAAATAAACCGTCCCATTACCATTCGACATTATATTCGACAAAATATACTATAAAAGTTAGCTAATTTCGAAACAAGACAAGTAAATATCTCGTCTCATGTTCAAATCCGGATTATGACCTCATACATTCATATATCTGTAAAATCCTCAGGTAATAATATATTTAAGGCCGGGAAATCGTATAGCATGAATGACGTGCAGAGAATTGGCAAAAATAGTGCTTAAAAGGTAATATTTGCGAAATGAAGTTTGGGGAGGAAGTTACGATAACTTTTCCCCCGAAGGGACTACCGAGACCGTCCGCAAAACTTCTCTCTATCCCGCGTAAGAAATTCTTTCTCTCCCTCTCCCTCTCCCTCTGTCCCCTCCCACCCACCCGTCCACCCAACCACTCTCCTCTTATTATTTCTCTTCATGCGGAAAGAGAAGGATTTTGTTAGATTTTTTTTTCTTTTTTCTAGGTCGCCATTACATGAACGGACAAGAGATTGAGGTTCTGTATATGTTGGCACATCGACGGAAGAGAGAAAAAAAATTCTGACGTTTTTTGTAAATTATTTTCTGATTACAAAAATTTTATTCGTGCGTGCGAGTGCGCGCGCGTGTCTATATTTATTTTTTTTTTCTCATCGCAAAGAGTATTGGGTCGAATCGAGAGTACACTGTTAGATCCAATCTTTCAAAAATAAAAGGCAAATTTTTTTTCGAAAACAGAGTAGCGCTCGGTCTCGCTTACGCTCCGTGTCCCTCTTCCATTAAGAAAATGAAAGTGTGCCATCGAGAGAATACAAGCGCGGCCCTGTCGTCCACACATTATGTAGACACACGAAACGCGTGGAAAACGACCACTCGTCGCCGTCGTCGACGACCTCGAGATCTTTTCCTTCGTCTTGTCGAGGGATCGATCGAAACACGATCTTCTAGCTGTCTAGTTTCCATTGCCCTCCTCCTCCTCGTCAACATCCTCGTTCTCCTCCCCGTCTTCCTCCTTGACCCCCTCCCCCTTCACCACCTCGTCACGGCTCCTCTCGCCGTTACCCCCTTCCACCTCCGCAAACCTCCGCAAACCTCCGCAAACCTCCGCAAACCTCCGCAAACCTCCGCAAACCTCCACAAACCTCCACCAACCTCCTCTCCGTCAAACGTCCTCCTACCAAACCTATTGCCGCACACTCTCACCAGCCAGCCGCCACGTATAATGTATTATAGTCAGAAACGCTCGTCCTTTTGGATTGACACGCGTCATGAGCGTCGTATTGGGGGCGGCGTCTGCGCGCGCTCGTCCATGTGTGTGCGTGTGCGTGCGTTGACGCGCGGTCTTTACCGTGCGAAGGGAAAACACGGAAATGTCCTTTCTCTAATATCCCTTTCTGGCCGTTAGACACTTTGCGAGGGATTTTCGGGGCGGGGCACTCGATACGGCAGTATTTTCCGAAAAGGTATAAACTCTGCTTTTGTTGACCCATAAGCAAAATATTTTCCTATGATTACGCGTGGGAGGAGCCATTATTGTCCGAATGTTTATGTTTATGCAGGTTTGTAATACGTATCAAACGATTGGAGATTGTTTTAACGATGGCCTTAGGGTCCGTTCGAGAAACACTGGGGGCCCCTCTTTTCTTAAATATCTTGTGCCGCTGCCTCTGATATTTGATATCGATTTGCTTTTTCATTGTCCTAATAACAACAATAACAATAATATTAATGACAATAATAATGATAATGATAATTATAGTAATAATAATAATTATTACTATTACTATTATTATTATTACTATTACTATTCCTATTACTATTATAATAGCAATAATAATATAATTAGGAATATATAATGGAGTTAGGAAATCTTGGTTAAAGTTTCTCTGCCGGGGCATGATATTAAAGTTATCATGAAAATTTCAGGCGAGTTCGTAACTTTAAAAAATACTTTCTATCTAAATATTTCATGGTTAAGTTGGATAAAAATTGAATAAGGGAAAGTCAAAATACATTTCAGTTTATCAAAGTAGTCCGAAAATCGGGGATTTGGAAATCTGAAGAATAATAAAAGTTGAAAATTGACTATACATTATATATTCTTTCATAATTTCATTTCTAATCTCAGTTTTCAAAATTACACTAAATCTAAATATACGCCTGTTCTATCTTTAGCATACTTGAATCTGAAATTATCTTGGATTCTGCCTATCTAATTTTGTATTCGTCTAATGGATGACTTCCCCTTTTCAAAATACATAACATTATAATTACATTATGTATGATAATTATTAGATAAATTAAACGCTATTTTTTCCTTGTCATAATATTTATTTGGGTGGAGATGCCAACACGTCTAATGTTAAGCAAAATTAATGTTTACGGTGACCGCGGCAGTATATATGTGATCAATTAAGCCAGCAGCAATGACTGGGCCATGCAATACTTCAACTCACCTGTAAAACAATTTATTTATCATTTATAAACTAGGGAATAACTAGTACTTTAAGTTTTTCGAATATTGGATTATTTCATTTCATTTTCCGCCCATCCCAAATACTTTATCACAAATTTAATCTTTGTCATTTGCTTTCTCTTTTCAGTCATTCGCTGGTACCTGGTCATTTATTGGTGCAGTCACCCTACATGTATGTACTTCTTATAATAAAAATTTCTTTATACGAAAAAATATTAATCAAAGACCGAGACGCGTGCCGGCTTTGTGAAAAAGACATTTATACGTTATTAAAAAAAAAAATGAATAATGAATTCAGGCAGTAATAATAATTTCTCAAAAATGCTCCTTTGGCATTAATTTGCATGCACAATGTGTGATACGCCACTGCTTAGGACTATAATAGTAGCACCACGTGAGTTTGCATAGTTTTATGCAATTTTGCATACGATTTCATTCAAAACAATGTTTCAAACCTTTCTAATTTACATCCATCTGCTTGGATTAACTATGTAAACGAAAAGTTTTAAATGAGTATTCAAAATCAGCTAATGGAATCAGCTTATTAATATTACGCCAACATTTCTTACAACCCGAGAAGCGGGAAAATTTCCCGCCTGTATTATACATAGTGCCAATATATACATACCCGCGCTCTGGAAAATTACCCCTAAATGAGTTAGAACGCCACGGAACAATGATAGGATAGAGCCTGTTTTTTTTTTTATTTTTATTTATTTATTTATTTTTTGTTTTTTCGTTTTCTTTTCTATCAGGCTATTATGCCGTGTGACCCTAATGCCGCGAAGTTTGTTGTTACATCTTCTCGTTTTGAAAAAAAAACAAAAAACAAAAAAAACAAATAAAAACAAAACAAAAATCCAACCCACCTTTGGCCCGCGCTAGGTAACGGCGACACACATAGATTCTTCAGCCCCTCGGACCGCTCGTGCGTGTACCAGCACCAATAAAAAATTTATTCGGGACTAGTACACGACTTGAAAAATCAGAACTACACCTGAAAGTGCTTCCCTCTTCCCTCTTTTCTTCGACGCCCACGCCGACCCTCGTGTCCTCCCTTCCTTCCCTTTCGTATCCTATCGGTGATCCCCATCCCCAGTCATTGCCACCCTAACGCGAAGTGATTTTTTCCTCCCGGCGCGACCTGTCGACACTCCGCTCCCCCTCTGGCACACGGCTTTTCCACCCCGGCGTCAAAACATTTTCCCGTTTTTCCCGAGGAGAATCCGAAAATGGCGGATATATGGGAGTCCGTGCCGTCGCGCGGATGTCAATTGTCTAACGCAATTGGAGTAGCGCACCGCCCTAGGCGCCGCGGCTTTTCCCTTGGATAAACACGCGCATGCCCAGAGGATCGGAGCCAACGATTGGCTCTCGCGAGCCTCCGGCTTCATTTCTTCCTCTCGCGCTGCCGTGCTCCTTTCTTCTTCCTCTTTTTATTTACCTCCTTACTCTTATTTTTTTTTTTTCATCTTCTGCTACTTCTTCTTTTTCTTCTTTTTTTTTTCCTCGACGCACCCGCCGCCGTTCTCCCCGGACGCCCTGCCGCCAAGCTCTTCAAATATGCACGGAGTACGGAACTGGTGCGCGTACGCCTCGGCGAAATTTCTTTTTACGAGCCCGACTCATTTGTTTGATATTGCGCCCTCCTCGCGGAATCATTTCATTCGTCCGATTAAGGCAAAATATTCGAGCCCCCCCCCCGCCCCCGCGCATTTTCTCATTCCGCACCTACGCCGTACCACCCAGCCACCACCGTACCCCGTCCAGCCGCCCACGAGCCCGTTGTTCACCCCGGTGACAGGGGAAGCGACGGGAAAGCGCCCTTTCGCCCCGGGCGAGATTAATAAAGGAGGTCTCGCAGGTAAGCCGCCGCCCCCTATGCCAGAGGGGGGCAACTTTAGCATCGAGGCCGCGGCACACTGTCTCATTTGAAATTTTAACCCAGATCGTGGCAGAGGGGCCGCGCGGCGACAAAGACTCGCGCCGGTGCGTAAACATTCGACGGAGATGCGCCACGACCCCGAGATGGGAAGAGAAACGGGCGCGCGGCATCGATTTCTAGGCTTATTTACAAGCGGGACAAAAATGAAGTCCCCGAGCCGTGGGGTTGGCCTCCTCGGCACCGAGTTCCAAGACGCCCGTCGCTAACCACGCTCCGTCATTTATTATGCGAAGGCGCCAACCCCTCGTCCCTCCCATCGCCTATCCGATATTATGCGCCTGTCGAACTTTGACCTTTTCTGCCGTTTCCTCGATTTTTCGCGACAGCCGCGGGGTTACGCGGTGGCGGTGTCGGCCGCTCCTGCTGCTACTGCTGACGATGAAAATCCCGAGGCACATTCGTGGAAATGGAAACGGGAGTATTAAAGTCAAATTGAACGACCTTCTCCGTTTTATTTCATTATAGTGGGATAGGGATGTGTGGCGGGGGAGCGAGGCGGGCGGGACATCGCGTATTTAAGCACATTGGGCCAAATGGGAATTTTCATTTTTGAACGGCCGGACTTTGGGCCGGGCTGCGGCGGTTGTAAAAATAGCCGCTAATGTAAAAGCATTCGTACATTTATAAGCTGCGCCAGCTAATACGGAACTCGGCTACGATGGTAGTGCAATCTTATGGTAATCCTCGGCTCCGGCCATTATCAATCGAGTTAATAAAAGTTAATGCGGGGACGCGCGGCAACTCGGCATCGGCGGACTTAAAGTAATTAAATTTCAATATTCAAGGCGAATCGATAAGCAGCCCCGAAGATCCGCTATAGCCTAAGTGGCATCGCGTTGGCCCAGTTCTGTCCGAGGAAGTGGCATTAACGAGCAGCCGAAATAAAAGGCACGTAGAGAGTGGAGCGCGGAGGGCGGTTGTTGAGGAGAAGGAGAAGGAGGAAGCGCGCGCTGGCGATAGTGAGCGAGCGAAAGAGGATGAGGGAAAGCGATCGGCGAAGCTTCAAAGGCGACGTCGAGAGCCAAAGGGAGGTAATCCAATTTCATCGTATCGTCACTTGGCATCATTAAAAGCCTCGCGCTTGGCTAGGGCGGCTCACCTTATAAATTATCGTCTTCCGCGACGCGAAATGACGCAGCCCATCCCATCCGCCACCTCGTGCCGTCGCTCGCCGCACATACACTGTAGGGGGACGTAGGTTGTTCCGCTCGTTCATGAATATTTGAGGCGTATATATATATATATATATATATATATATATATATATATAGGTGGAAGCGGGTGATCGAGGTGGGGGATTGAGCGAGATAGTAACGCGCGAGTACACGACTGTACAACGATGTCTACGAGGGGTAGGTGACGAGTGAAATAAATGACTATATAGGATAAGGTGACGACGGACGATAGAAAGAAAAAGTACGCTGCATTGTAATTGCGTGGTTGCGGAGCTGTGGATAGGGCGATCGAGAACGATGTGGGATTGGGGTGGGGGGGGGGCAAGCCGGGAAAAGAAGGGATCGCGAGATAAATAAAGGGTGGCAAGCCAAACGTCAAAATTGACTCATCAGTGAAGCGACGCTGCACCTTGCAGTATGCACGAGAACCGAGTGGGGTGGAATCGAGGGGGAGGGTCGAGTAAAGGGGGGATGAGCGATATATCTTGACTCGGGCCGCCGCGGATGAATTATTTACGATGCGCCTCCTCTCCCGCGTCTCCCGCGTTTCCACGTCTCTCTATATATCTACACGCGGGTCCCGTCCGTCGCATTACAAGCCCGCGTTTATTTATAAAGCTCGGGGATATCGCGTGCGGCCGCCGGAAGTGCCCCGCGATGCCGGCACGCGCATTCCGAAATACCCTCGGCGGCCTCCTCCTCCTCGCCCACCCGCCCACCAGACCCGACCCGACCCGACCCGACCCGACTCGACTCGACTCGACTCGACCCGCCGCTCCCTTCCTTCGCCACCAACGAAATTACAAAGCCCAGTACTATTGCTACTTAGGCTGAATTATAATGGGGGGCCCGATATAATGACATGATCGTTGGCTTTTCAATTTCCAGTTAATTTTTCGGTAATTTGGTAACCGTGATCTCTCTCTCTCTCTCTCTCTCTCTCTCTCTCTAGCTGTATCTCTCTCTCTCTCTCTCTCTCTCTATCTGTATCTCTATCTATACCTCCATCTCTACCTCTATCTCTACCTCTGTCTCTCGTTCTAGCTCTCTGACCTCTCTCGCTTTGGAACAAACGAGACGACGGCGTTAAGCGACGACGAGCCATGATGAATAATTGCGTGCCGAAACTCGTCGAGTTGCGCCTTACATTCGTTGTGGTTTACATGGCTCTTCATTGGATTAAGCGTAACGGGAGTCATTATCGAGTCGGCGAATGACTCGACTAACCTTCGTTTAGGAAGTGGTCTGGTATACAAGTCACCGGGGAAAAACGGCGCCCCGGTTTAAGAGAGGATTATCAGGAGGAAAAATTTTTTACACCACGTTTTTACAGAGCGCGTTAAAATCTTCATTAGCGGGAGTTTTGCCCTGAAAAATAGGGTCAATTTATTTTCTTCGTAATAATTTAATGGATTTTCATCATTGCGAGGAAGCAAAATTTTTGATCGACTGCAATATTAAAATGTCACACCGGGCGCCGCTGGGGCTCCGCGTCCGTTCGCCCCGGCTTAAACTTACAAAAGTATAATTTCCGTTTTCACACCTATTTTATTATTTCATGGAGCGAATTTCCGTCTCGTTGTGGAGAAAGAAAAAAATTGCACGAGCTATGATTTATAAGCAGCGGCTTTTACAAAATTTTAACGGCTGAAAATCACCGTTTGCATTTCCATTAGACAGGGCGATACGTGCGCTTTCCAACATAAAGCCCCAGCGATGGATTTAACGTTGGCTGCTCCTTCGGGGCCCCGATCCTCTTTTATAATTTTTATCCGTGCACAGACCCGCGTTTTCTCCAAGACGTTCGCTACATTAATCGCGCAATTACAATAAACGAAAGCACCTTATAAAAGTAAAGCGTAAATTCCGTATGGGCAACTCTCGGCTCGTCCGGCGAGCCCGAGTCCTCGTATACAATAAGGTGCTTATTGATACACAAGGACCGTTGTTGCGCCGAGTTGTAACGAGGTCTCATTCTCTCTCTCTCTCTACCTCTCTCTACCTCTCTACCTCTACATCTACCTCTCTACGTTTTCATTGCTGCCGTCTCTC